CGGCCGCCGCAACCTCGGCGACTGGCCCGCTCGCCATCGCGTAGACGCCCGGCGGGGTGCTGAGGACTGCGAGGTTTCCGCGGCCAGCAGGGCGATGACCGAGGTTCAAGCGCGGAGTGTCTCGAGCCAGAACACCTCTTGGTCGCATCGTCGGCAGACTGGTTCAGCAATCCCGCGGTCTGTCCCGCGCGGTGCCCCGCGGGCTGTCCCGCGGGTTGCCCGCGAGTGCCCCCATGATTGAAAGTGCCCTGGCCGGTTCGGATCAGAAATGGTTTTCCTGTTGGGCGCCGCCCTTCTTCAGGCCCTCCGGAGCGCTACAAGAGGGCCCCAAAAGGCCCCCAAAGCGGTCCATGAGGGCCCCCAGTCGTTGATCGGTCCAAGACGCCCAAAGCGGCCTTCAGACGGCCTAAGACGCCTTTCAAACGCCCCAGGAGGCCATCAAGAACCCTCCCAAGAAGGCACCCAGAAGCAAAAAGTAATGGTTACCCGCGCTCCAAGACAGCCCAAAAGGCCCCCGATATCGCCCCAATACGGCCAAAGACGCCTCCACGAGGGCCCCAAGAGGCCCCCAAGAGCGCTTCCGACCGTGCCCCGAGGAGGCCCCAAACAAATATTTCAGCTCTCGGCCCCGAGGAGGCCCCCAGAACCCGAGATGCTCCCAAAAGGTTCGCAACAAGCCCCAAGAGGCCCCCGAGAGGCCCGTGGAGGCCCCAGAAATACCGCCCAGAAGCCTCCGAGAGGCCTCCCAATACACCTCAAGCAGCCTCCCAAACAAGCGCTTTGTCCACGATCAAGTTGGGCCTCATCCTCATCCTCATCCTCATCCTCATCCTCATCCCCATCCTCATCCTCATCCTTATCCTCATCCTCTCCTCCTCCTCTCCTCCTCCTCCTCCTCCTCCTCCTCCTCCTCCTCGTTGTCCTCCTCCTCCTCCTCCTTGTCCTCAACCTTTTTCCCCCTCAACCTGTTCTTTTTCGCTCGCCACGGGCGCCCCTGATCATTCTGACCCACAAATCACGCGCGGCGGTGGGGCGGGTTCCAGGCGCCCTTCAATGCGCCCAAGACGCGTCCCAGATGCCCGAGATGGCTTCCAAGACGGACCAGGGAGGCCACCAACGCCGCCAATGTGGCCAAATATTACGCCTCCAAGACAGCCGAAGAGGCCCCCAAAAAGGCCCCCAAACGCTACAAGAATTCCCCCGATCGGGCCCGCAGAGACAACGTGCAATGATTCTGATTTTCTCACGCTATCACCTTTTCGAGCATCCAAGACGGCCTTAGGGGCCCCTGAGACCGCCTTGGACAGGCCCCATGCAAGTCCCGAGACATCTCGAGACGGCCCCGAAACGGCCCAAGAAGCGCCCAAGACAGCCCAAGAGATCCCCAAAACGACCCCAAGACGGGCCCGAGAGGGGAAACACGAATGGACAAGTCGAGCCTCGCGCCCGAAGAGGCCCCCAAGAAGCCCAGAAGGCTTCCAAGGCGCGAAGCGTGCGCCAGCGGAATGAGCGATACGATTGAATAATATTCGCACACGCGCGCACATAGACATATACACAGGGGCCTGGCTCGGGGGGGCCCCCGTTCGAGCCCGCGCCGAAGACGCTATTTGAAAACTAAATTCGGCCAAGGAGCTGCGGTGGCGCCTCTATTCCGCTGACGCCTGGTGAAGCTCGTGACGCCTCTATTCGGCCTGACGCCTCGATTCCGCTAGCGCCCATTGAAGCTCGCGAAGCCTCTGTTCGGCCTGAAGCCTGCATTCGGCCTGAAGCCTGCATTCGGCCCGTGACGCCCCTATTCGGCCTACGAGTTGCGACGCGCTGGTGATGTGGTGACCCTAGACGCCTCTATTCGACCAGAAGCCTCTATTCCCCTGGCGCCCATTGAAGCTCGTGACGCCTCTATACGGCCTGAAGCCTCTATCCCCCTGACGCCCAGTGAAGCTCCTGAAGCATCTATTCTGCCTGAAGCCTCTATTCCCATGACGCCCCGTGAAGCTTGCGACGCCTCTATTCGGCCTGCAGCCTCTATTCCCCTGGCGCCCGGTGAAGCTCGTGAAGCCTCTATCTGGTCTGAAGCCTCTATCCCCCTGACGCCCAGTGAAACTCCTGAAGCATCTATTCTGCCTGAAGCCTCTATCCCCCTGACGCCCAGTGAAACTCCTGAAGCATCTATTCTGCCTGAAGCCTCTATTCCCATGACGCCCCGTGAAGCTCGCGACGCCTCTATACGGCCTGAAGCCTCTATCCCCCTGACGCCCAGTGAAACTCCTGAAGCATCTATTCTGCCTGAAGCCTCTATTCCCATGACGCCCCGTGAAGCTTGCGACGCCTCTATTCGGCCTGCAGCCTCTATTCCCCTGGCGCCCGGTGAAGCTCGTGAAGCCTCTATCTGGTCTGAAGTTTCTACTCTTTTGACGTGCGGTGAAGCTCGCGAAGCGTCTATTCGGCCTGAAGCCTCTATTCCCCTGGCGCCAGTGGCGCTCATGTACATACACATGCACATATACCAATGCATGAACATACTTTTAAGTTCACCTACACATTACATGTCTACATACTTGTACATTTGTATATGTATGTATACGCATACTCTTACTCATATGCATACACAAGTAATACACTGGTACATATACATACACATACTCATACGCATTCACATGCACATGCATTCACATATGCACATGCACATACACAACCACATGCACGCACACATATACATATGCATACACATACACATATACATACACAACATGCACATGTACAAGCATATGCTTATACGCATGCATACACATACACATACACATACACATACACATAAACATAAACAAATACATATATACATGTATATACATTTACATCTACATATGCATGCGGGTTGCAGGAATGGCGCGCCCCTCGTGCCCGAAGAAAGCCGACGCGGCTGAAGCGCTGGCCGACAGGAGTTGCTTGTGCATATCTGCTGGGCATTTGGCCGCCTCGTCGAGTTCGCACCATCCATTGGCGGGCGTTTTTCTGTGATCATACCGAGCCATCGCCCCGCCCGCCCGATGGTGAGAAGACTCGCCGTCGGCGTCGCTGGCCGCTGCCGCGGAACGAACTGTCTCGGCGGCGCGGCCCGCAAAAAGGCCCCCAGCAACGCGTGCCCTGAAGCTCCACATGAATGCGACTACGGCCCGTGGGGTCCAAAGCCAATCTGGACTGCGCCGCGGGGGGCCCTCGCCGCGGCTCGGCCAGCGCGTTATGAAACGCCTGCAGGCGCCACTCATTTTTCTCGTGCAAGCTGCGCGTCAAAAGCATGCGCAGCTTTGGATTGCGCCCCTCGGCGCAACGACGCGCGCGGCCAGCGCGCGCGGGGCGTCGCTCGCCGGCCGAACCGAACCAGCCGCGCCGACAAATGGGCGCGGTCGGCGACAAATGATGCAAGGTGCTCAATCTCATCAATCGACACTGTTTTGTCACGCAAAAAGCACTGGAGATTCACCAGAGGAGAAGCCATGGTCACGCTAAAAACGCAAGGTCGAGCCAAGGGCTCCGGAAATCCCGCTAGCTCTCTGGGCGCTGGTGGTTTAGAGCGCTTCCTCTTCCGCCCCTCCCTCATCCCCTTTCGGGGAGGGGCTCGCCCTCTTGCCCCCCCCCTCCCCTGGGCCATAACGAAAGGCTTCGCGAGCGGTCAGAACGTCTGAGATGGCTCAAGATGGCTTCAAGACGGCCTCAGAAAGCCCGAAATGCTTTCCAAGAAGGCATCAGATGGGCCAAGATGGCGCGACATTGTTTCTCATATGTTCGGGGGGGCCACCAGACCGCTCCAAGGCGGCCCCAAGTGGCCGCGGAACTTCCCCGGGCAACGGCCAAGAGGCAACGCTCCTGCAAAACATAAACAGAAATCATGATTTATGCCTTCTCGCCTTTTTGCTTTCGCTGGCCTTTCTATGCCTCCAGGCAGCTCCCAATGAGCACCGCGGAGCCCCGTGGCGAGCCCCGCGAGGTCGCGAGGCAGCCCAGAGAGCCCCGAGAAGAACGCTCCTAGAAGGGGCGCACGGGCCGCCGCCGCATTCATTTGGAGCTGAAGGACACGCGTTGCTGGGGGGCTTCTGTCGGCCGCGCCGCCTCGAGACAGCTCGTTCCGCGGCAGCGGCCGGGGATGCCGACGGCGAGTCTTTTTGCCGCGGGGCGGGCGGTGCGACGGCTCGGCCCGCCTGCAGAAAAACGCCAGAAATAAATGAAGGCCGCGCTACAAAGGGGCACATCTAGCACCAATGATTCCACTTCAATCAACTTGGGGGGGGGGTCTTGCCTGGCAGAGGGCGCCGCGCAGCGGGCGGGGCGCGCCTAGCGCCGGGGGCTCGTCTTCATCAACTCGGGGAGGGCTCTTGCCTGGCGGAGGGCGCCGCGCAGCAGGGGGGCGCGCCTAGCACCAGGAATCATTTTTAATCAACTTGGGGGCGAGTCTTGCCGGGCACAGGGCGCCGCGCGGCAAGGGGGCGCGTCCAGCGCCGAGGATTCTTTTCTGATTAACTCGGGGGGGGGGGTCTTGCCTGGCAGGGGGCGCCGCGCAGCAGATGGGGCAGGTCCAACGTCGAGGGTTTTTTGTTTACCCACTTGAGGAAGGGGCCCTGCCTGGCAGAGGGTGCCGCGCAGCACTTGGGGAGGGCCCCGGGAGGGGCCTTGCCCGGCAGAGGGCGTCGCGCAACAGATGGGGCACGTCTAGCACCGAGGATTCTGTTTTAAACAACTTGGGGAGGGGTCTTGCCTGGCAGAGGGCGTCGCGCAGCAGGCGGGGCGCGCGTTGCGTTGGGCGCGGGGGGCGCAGAGTCAACTTGCACCTGCAAATTACAAGCGGGGGGGGGGGCGCGTTGGATGCCGCGCCCGGCGAAAAGAAGCGCGCTCGCAAAGAATGGCGTCTTCGCCGGGAACGGCGCCCTCACCCGGAATAGCGCCTTCACTCGGAGTTGCGTCTTCGCCGGAAATTGCGTCTTCACTCGGAATAGCGTCTTCGC